TCTGCACATGTTTGTTTCTGCACATGTTTGTTTCTGCACATGTTTGTCTGCACATGTAAGTGCTTTGGTAATCAACCACCATGTAAAAGTCTTGGGAATATTCCAAAGACACTGTCTTTTTAAATCTAATTTTATGTTTAAGTAGTTATTAGAACCCATTTGAATAAACAGTTCAATTTATTGTGAATTGATTGATCATGTATGAACAGTGCTGCATGGCGAGTTTGTCATGGATGGTTATAAATGTGTGAAGCTGCTGGTCAGCTAGAACGTGCTGTCTAAGCAGCTGTGTGTTTGAGCTCATGCTACTTTCACAGCTTCACTGTGAAACAGCTGAACAAGGCTGACAGCCTTCAGCTGTGGAGGAGGCTAAAACCTTCAGCCTTTGTTCTGACACTGAGCTCCGTAAACTCGTTCATTTGGCTCCTTTATTCTTCTTACACTGAGTACATCACGTAGTTACGTTTACTAAGAGAGAGCTCAACAAAAGAGGCGACTCAAATATATCTGAACTGTGTTCAGGTCAAAATAATAAAGTTCAGACGTCTGAAAGTTTTGTCTTTATTGCAGAAACATCATCAGACCTGCTGATGGTCACATTTGTTGCTCACTGACAGTCTTGTGTGCGACGTGTGTGTGCGTGTACAGCAGTTACTGACATATGATCGAAAATTGTTTCAGAATCCACATTTTACAACAAAACAGAAACAGAGGGCTCAAAGGTGACTGCAAGAAGTCTAAAACAGATTCAAAACAAATGTGAACAGGGCCAGAGTGTAAGGCACCTTGCAGTCTGTTTTACCTTTATTGAAACTTTAGTATCTTTGTGGGCCAGCTTCAGGGCGTTGTGAAACACTTTAAGGTCTTCTTCCAAAGCCAAAGTAGCTGCAGGGAGTTTGTGTTGGTCAGGTTCGATGTGCTCAGCCAGTTTAGAGGGAGAGTCGATAAACTGGAGCCGTTTGCTTCCTTTCAGTCCCGTCAGCAGCCTCTCGTGATACTTGGTGTACTCCCTCACCCATGTGTTGCAGTTGTAGACATAAACTGCTGCCACGTTCTCATAAGCAAAGCCAGGAAACACCACAAACCACTTGGACAGGAAGTCAGTCTTGAAGCGATTGCTGGGCCCAACATGAGTTAGGTCAACAACTATCTCATAGGGCTTAGCGTAGTAAGGTTTAAGGGTGAGGAGAACATGGTAGATGAGCAGGTCACCATTAATCTGGCCTGTTTTGAACCTGGAGGAAGGAGACAAGGAGGTAAAATAAATACAGATTCAAACCTGCCATAGTTGCATATAAGTAACCCATTTTATACAACAAACCAAATAAAACATTCAAAGCTTTTTATGCAACACTAGTGAAAGATTACAAAAATGTTCGTTCATAGAAATAATGCAGTTTCTTTCCATTTCTTTTATAACAGCTCTTAAAGCTCTGTGCAAGCAAACAAGACCCCCTGAACAAAGCCAAGCAGAGGAAGACCTTGAAGTGGACTCAGTCTGTTCTGGTACCAGCTCAGCACCAACACATCCACAAGGCAACTTCACTTAAAGGTAATAAAAGCACTCGAGGTAAATAAAGTGATCATGTACATTAAATGTCATCTTGCTGTCCCCCTTCACACAAGATGATGGCCCCACTGTGATACACAAAACAAATGGTAAATGGACTGAACTGATACAGCTCCTTTCCATCTTATTTCAAGACACTCAAAACTCTTTACAACAATCTGTGTCCTCATTGACCCATTCACACAGCTCTATACTAGATCTGTACAAAGAATTATCAGAGCTTTATCACATTCATACATGACACACATCAGAGGCAATGAGGGGTTCAGTGTCTTGCCCAGGGACACTTCAGCATGTGACTGCTGGTGGAATCGAACCCCCAACTCTTGCATTGGAGGACGACTGCTCTAACCAGTCAGCCACAGCCGCCCCCACAAATACATATCATGAGGGGTCTTTACAGAATCTTGGTGAGGTCTTCAGTGGCGGATGAAGAATGCAGTGGACTCCCCGCTGCATGTGAGACAGACTCATTGAGCTGGTGGTTTTAAACACACAAAGCTTCTGCATCAAAATTGTGCTGGTTTATTTTTATGGTGGCAGCATATGAGGGTCCTGGGTGGAGAGTGGGGGGCAGCATTTTCAAGCATGGCTTGGTCATCAATAATTGAACGCAGAACTGGCCCTGCTGGCCTCATGCCTAGGCTACAATCATACCCATGACAAGGTCATGGAAACAAGGTAACGCAGCTGTGACCCTCGTGGCTGTAGAACTGTGCGGAGCTTTTAGCTCCGTCCTGGTGCAGTCTGAGAAAGCCGTGTCAGGCTGGGCACATACACCTTGCTAAGAATAAAACAGAGCATCTTTGAAAAGCATCAGAGAACATCATAATGCCTTTGCATTGAAGAGCAGTTTTCAAACGAGCCAACATGAAGCCACGTTCTAACAGGTTGTGAAGAGCACAGTGGAGTCATCACCCAGTGTGAATGGGGCTTTCACAAATATTACGGTAACATAAAAAGCTGCCTTTTAATTTCAGAACAAGATGGAAACCATTGAAATGTTTTGGCTGTTTGTCCTGCTGAACCAGTTGCTGCTAATGGATTCATTTCATGCAGACCAGCTTCTTTTAACCACACACACATCCCAAACCGTAGGCCACAGTGATGGTGAAAGATCTGTGGTCTCACAGGAGTTCAACTTCACGACTGAAAACCACCAGAACTTTGAAAACAGCACCGGTGCCGCTCGTGGTGACTGCCTGATCGATACAGAGATGGGCCTGATTGCTGTTGGAGCAGCAGGAGGACTCATTTTCTGTCTGCTGGTTGCCACCTTCATATTAGCATGTCAGGTCTTCGTCCTTCAGCGCCGGGTTCATTTCACTCAAACCTCACCGAGTGACACACAGTACTGGGGCACAGACCAAGCAGAAGCCAGAGGACTAATTGAAGCATGTGATACTGAGGTTATGCTTGAAGAGGTGAGAGTAGACACCAAGATGAAAGAAAAGAAGCAGGCTGAGCTACTGGAGGAAGCTGGTGGAGGACGACAGGAAGGGCCAACAGCTGAACGTTCTGATCCTGAAGAGAAGCTAACTCACATTCAAAGCTCTAGTTCCAAGGATTCCTGTTTGGATGTTCCCAGGGACTTAGAGGACATGCCCCTTGTTGTCTAAAGAAGTAGACCCCGCCCCCCCAAAAAACATACAAACAAACAAAAAAACAACAAATAAATAAATAAATCCATGTCCAAAAAATACAGAATTATTTAACCGTTTGTAACATAGTAATGTACTGAAGAATTTCAATGACATTTAACATGCTAACACTAGCAAACTGTACGCTTGAACCAAACAGAACAACCCCCCGTTAGTTATCAGTAGGTTTATTAAATGTAAGCACATTTAAAGCTATTTCACTCAGAAGGTTAATGTGAATCTTGAACATTTTGTTTTCATCTTAACAATATTTAATGACATACTGTATATACTACAAGAGCAGAGTTGACCATCAGGAACTGTATGGAGTTGACCTTCTTTCTGCAGCTCTAACAGGTTCCACTGATCTTGGAAGGTTTGTTGCAGGATTTGAGCATTTCTGAAATAACTTTTGTCTATTAAATATGTAGAGCATTTATAAAGTTAGGCACTAATGTTAGACCAAAAGGTCCGACTACAATTTTCATTTCAGCTCATCCCAAACGTGCTTGATGAGGTTAAGGTCAGCCCTCTGTGTGGGCAAGTCAAGTTCTTCCTCAAAGAACTCGTCAAGCAGGCCTTTACCATCCTTGAACTATACACTAGTGAACAGGAATGTTGAACTAAAAAACACCATTCCCTAATCTGTTGCCACTAGGGTGCACCAATTGAAGTTTTCAGGCTGATCACCGATTTCTAAAAAGTTTGACCTGCCGATTCCGATTTTGTTTTATAAATGGTAAATGGACTGTACTTATATCGTTCCTCTCTATCTTATTTCAAGATACTCAAAGTGCTTTACAACAATCTGTGCCTCATTGACCCATTCATACAGCTCTATACTAGATCTCTACACAGATAATTGAACAAATCATTCTAAAGAGACTAATCAGTGCTTTAGATCACATTCAGACACTGATGGGACACATCAGAGGCTATGAGGGGTTCAGTGTCTTGCCCAGGGACACTTCAACATGTGACTGCTGGTGGATTCGAACCCTCAACTCTTGCATTGGAGGACGACTGCTCTAACCACTCAGCCACAGCCGTCCCACTGTCAGGTGTTATAAGGTCACAAGGCACCTTCAATTTTCCAATATTATTTTGTTGTAAAACATACCATTGAACAATATCCTAGAACAATACAAACTTGTTGTAACTGGTCATGAGGTAATGCTCTGAAATATAAATGAAGTTCAGACAATTGTTGTTAAAACAAACAAAAAAATCGGTAAAATCGTTTTTTCATGCAAAAATTGGCTGATGTCCGATTTGCCAAAATAAAGGAAATTGGGGCAGATAAGTTGACCTGCACTCCTAGTTGCCACAAATCCGGAAGCATAATGTCCAAAATGTATTGCTATGCATTTTGAAGCATTTAGATATACATCAATGGAAATCAGGGGCGTGGCGCAAAACCAAATACTTTTGTCCATACATACTGATTCATGCACAATAATCCAGGTAGAAAAACCTAACAAAGTTAAGTCAGGTCTTCTGGATGGATAAAACAAACAAACAAAAAACTTGTTGAAACGTTTCGTCTTTTATCCAAGACTTCTTCTGTCTGAGGAGCTGTAATAAACTCAGAGTGGAGCCTCCGGGTTCAACTGTCCCCTCTTACCATGCTGTTATTGCTAGTATCACTCAGCCCCCTGGGAATAGTCAAAGTCAGTGGCTCTTTATTTGTCATTCCACCACATGTGGTACATGTGGTGGAATGACATTATGTCCACAGGGTCCCAGTTACATCCAACAAAAGTATAAAATGTAGAAGAAAAACGGTAATAAGATCCAAGAGATGAATTAAGAAGAAATATAGTAAGCAGTAGTAGTACAAAAACAATACGCCGAACAGCAGCACAAACATGAGTCTGTGTGAGCAGATGAGTACGAATGAACAGAGCAGCATGACATAAATCAGCAACGTGGATAATCAGCAGCACATATCAACAATAAAGTGGCATTAGTACTTTTTCACAGTGATTATTTTGGTTAGGGATTCATGAGTCTAACAGCCTCAGGGTAGAAGCTGTTCCTCAGTCTAGTACAGGCATAGGCAAACCCCGGCCCACGGGCCGTATACGGCCCATTGGGCTTTTTAAATGGCCCACCAAAATTGTCCAAAATTTGAACAATTAAAAAAATAATAATAATTTTTTTTAAATACTTTATTTTTCAGGGATGCTAAGGTAAAACTTAGGGGTGCTTAAGCACCCCCAAAAAGAGGTTAAAATTTCCACTGGTTCAAATTATATTTAAAAAACTGAATTTAATAGAAAAAAACTGGTGTAGTTTTACCTGTAGTTCCAGCGTTTCCCCAGTAGAGGCGCACTACAGACACTGGTGTGTATTAGAGGCAAGTGGGGAAGAAGTAATTTCTTCTTCTACGCTTTTATTTTTACTTTGCCCTACGATCTCATCTGTAAAAACGTGTTTATCAAAGAAAAGAAAAGTGTAGAGTGAGTGCTGAGTTTAAAATGGGCTGGACAACAACATGTTGTTTCACTGAGGTCCAGTCAAAGACAGTTTTTATGACAAGAACCTGTCACGGTTTTCAAAGAGTACACTTTGCTAACTGCTAACTATGCTAGCAAGCCTTTCTGCGATGGTGGTTTTTAAAAAGAAACCTGGTAAAAACAGAGCAGGTCTGTTGTGTCCGGAGGGCCAAGATAAGTTAGAAAACATCAGTTTATCACGCAGGACTGGGACTCGCCTTGTGGAACTGACTGATGAAGATTTAACAAAATAAAATAAAAGGCAGAGAGTCCTTTAAGTTACGGTTTACTGGATGAAAGTAATAAAGGACACTGCTCAGCTCCTATTTTTATTATCTGTGGGATTAACAACAGTCTGGAGATAATGGAGGTGTTTTTGACCCTGGAGTCTGAAAGGAAAAACACAGAGAGACGATTTTTATAACCGCCTGCTGTCATGAGAGAATGAAGCTTCTGTGGAGTAAAGTTGTCACAACGGACACGTCACCAGAGTTAAGTGTAAAACATGTCGGGCTGCTGACAAGAATCCAGGATAAAGTGAAAGGAAAACCTGACCAGGATGTTACTCTTCATCCATCAGGAATCGCTGTCATGTTGTGTGTGTGAAACTGTTAATTGTGTGTGAATTATCAAAAAAAGAGTGAAAGACAAAAACGTGTGAATTATTGCGCAGGTTCTCTGTTGTGATGCTGCAGGAGGAGCTGCAGGAGGAGCTGCAGGAGGAGCTGCAGGAGGAGCTGCAGGAGGAGCACGTCTGCTTCATCCCAACCTGCTGACCTGTCATCAACTTTAGATCCTGTAGTTGTAAAAAGTTTAGTGAGGAGTTTGTGGAGGTGAGCCGACACTTTCTTTAGACGTTTCTCCTGTATTCCATGAGCACAGTGAGGTAAGAGACTTGTGGTTTGGTTCATGTGATTTTTCTTCAGCTAAGAGAAAACCCAGTGGTTTGTTTTGTTTGTTGTTTGGGCCTGAAGTTGGTAAGACTCCACAAAGTCAATCATTTCACTGTTGTAAATAAAATCACTGTTCTATCATATAATCTGACTTAGTGGCTGCTTGAGTGGTGCAGAAGGTGGAATCGCTCATAATTAATAGCGTCCCAGCGGCTGTTATTGAGCTGGGGTGTGACATCACACAAACACTCCATCCATCTGTTCCTGGCCCTTCGCTCCAATTTTAGAACTCGGTGTGGCCGCGAGTCTAAAAGTTTGCCCACCCCTGGTCTAGTGGTTCTACACTTAAACCTCCTCCTTTCTGAGGAGAGTGGGACAAAAAGTGTGTGTGCTGGGTGAGTGTGGTCCTTCGTGATGAAGGTGGCCCTCTTCCTGCATCTGGAGGTGTAGATGTCTGTGATGGTGGGGAGGCTGACTCCAACAGACTTCTGTGCAGCCTTCACCACTCTCTGCAAAGCTTTTCTTTCTGCAGCTGTGCAGCCTCCATGCCACACGTTGATGCTGGAGCACAGGATGCTCTCCACTGCACACCTGTAGAAGGAGGTGAGGACTGAGCTTCCAGACCAGCAAGCGACCATACGGGCACTAAAGATCGGTCGTTAGGCTGATGGTTCTCCTTTATCATGTGAACAGCTAGTTCTGGGTGTCAAGAGCAAACTGGTTGATCCACTATGAAAAGGTGTTATTTATAAGATTGAGTTTATTGCAGCTCCTCAGACTGACTGTATTTTGGATAAAAGGACATCCTTGTAAAAGAGATTGATGATCTCAATGGATTTCTTCCAGGTAAAATAAAGTAATAATAAAAAAAAAGACAAAATGTTTCAACAAGTTTTTTTTAATCCATCCAGAAGACCTAACTTAACTTTGTTAGATTTAGTCCATACAGTTGAAGTTCTTGAATATGTACAGAACATTAAAGTCTTGTGATAAAATAGTTGATTAAAGCAGCACAGATTTCTTTTTGCTACAGTAAAACTCCTTGTATTCAAACTGCACATTTTAAATGTATGACTTCAACACAGAGTTGAGTTTAAACAGGACACTGATTTGTTGCTCATGCACACATTTCTTTACAACACTGAAAAACTAAAGTGTGAAACAGACTTACAGTGCGTCTTTTAGTTTCAATAGGTTCTTGCAAGTAAATTTTCACACTTGACGTTCGTATATTGATAATACTGAGGGGAATGCAACAATGATTTGACAAGGACATTTTGATGAGATGGACAAGAGCTGACTGAAAACAACCACCAAGGACATTTTTCACTGGACAGAATCATTCAAACCAAACGAGGCACAGCAACGACAAAAACAGCACATACTGATTTGATCCAAAACAAGTCCAAATCTGAATGCTGATGTGAGCCCACTTATGACGTGCTGCTGGTAAATGAACCAGAACCTGCTCCAATATTAAACCCATGGATCAGCTCACAACAAAGGTTCTTCTCATTTTAATAATAACATCACTTTATCAGAACCTCAACAAACAAAAACATAGTTATTCAGGGTTAATCCACAACAAATGAGTCCTTTACATACAAAAGTGTATGCACGTACATGGACAGTGTGTGTGTGTGTATAAATATGACATGATTAGTCTTACTGTTAATAGTGAATGAAAAGTAGTATTATTGCTTCAGTACTCTAACTGGAAGTATACATGCTCTACCTTAAATATTATAAACATGTTTTTTTCCTTAGTGTCAATATTGTCCAAGTCTGGCCCGTTTTTCCAAATGTATTGTTTTCAATCAACATTCCTTACTGTTGTTTTTAACGTCTTTGTTAATCTTGCAATTAAAATAAATTGTCTAATAAACAGAGAAGAAGAAAATAAAGTACAGTTGTGTCTGTTGGCTGAGAAGAATATCTCCAACCAAAGAAAACAACCAGTCTGTGCAAACTGGAAGAACCTGCAGATATTGAAGGACATCATGTTTTACCTCCAAAACGTAAAGAGGATGGCTGCCAGCTCATCTCTTCGGTGTGTTCAAGGAATGTAGGCAAACAGCAAACGCAACTGTCAAAGCACCAGACAAAAGTACATCTTGTGCAGCTGAATGAAGGCGTCCTCCACACCAGTGGAGGCTGGTGATTTTTTGTCCAGGAGGGGCGCTATATCCATCCATCCATTCTCTTTACCCGCTTCTTCCAGTTTGGGTCACAGGGGTCGCTGGTGCCCATGTCCAGCAATCACTGTGTGAGGGGCGGGGGACACCCTGGACAGGTCTGCAGTCCATCACAGGGACACATAGAGACAAACAACCATTCACTCTGTCACTCTCACCTAAGGACAATTCAGAGTTACCATCAGTCTAACATGCATGTTTTTGGTCTGTGGGAGGAAACTGGAGTATCCGGTGAAAACCCACGCATGCACGGACAGAACATGCAAACTCCACTCCGAAAGGTCCACGAACCGGGATTTGAACCAGGGACCTGTTCGCTGAGAGGCAGCATATATATGTGTTCCCATGGCCTGAAGCACAATTCTTGTCCAGAAAAAAAACACATTATTCTCAGTGGTTTGTGTTTAACGGTTTACTTATAAATGAAACATGTACAGTAAAAATGTAAGCAAAAACAACTTATCCATGAGTTGGTAATTAAACAGAAAAAGAGCTAGGTGGTCAAAAAACTGTCTGGCTTCACTCTCCATCAAGTCTGTCTGGACTTTTTCTCCTGCCACCCCCCACCCACATCACATGACTTAAATAAACATGTTACCAACCTCATACAAACAAAGATCTACACATAAAACAAATAGCTTCAGTTATACATATAATCTTTACAAAATTTTGTTTGACAAAATTTCTTCTTAAATTTGACAATAATTACTATCCATTCATCCATCCATCAGCATGTTCTAGAATTGCGCCGCTCGGGTGGCTGCATGTTGGAGCAGCTCCGTTACTTTAATTCTGAGTTATTGCTTTTGAAAACTTTGTCCTCTTTTTTCTGGAAGTAATCACATTTTTCGGATGATAATTTACTCTGGTATAAGATGCTGTGCAGCTGGAAGAATTTTTATTAAAAGATTTTTTACTTTTGGGCTTTTGTTATGATGCGTAACCATGGAAACAAGGTGTTTTTAACAACCAGAAATTCAATTCAATTCAAAAATACTTTATTAATCCCAAAGGGAAATTATTATTTGTTGTAGCTCGTTATCCTCATTTCATTAAGAGATGTTATAGATGCTGATGCTGTAGACAGGAAGGATCTCTTGTAAAGGTCCATCCCACAGTGGATCCTAAGAAACTGGCTGCAGATGCCGTCCGATCCGTCCACCCAGACTCAGCTGGCCTCTCGGTTCCCCCGGGCTGTAGGACCGCCTGAATGTTGGGCAGAACTCCTCCCAGAGTGATGGCCACTCCTCCCAGCAGTCTTCTGTGCTCCTTGTTGCTGCAGACAGCCAACTGTAGGTGTCGAGGGACGATCCTGTCCTTCTGCTGTCACGAGCCGTGTTTCCTACTAGTTCCAGGATCTCAGTGGTCAGACACTCGAGCACAGCTGGCAGGTAGATGAGAATGCATCCACAGAACATCCTTTCAACTCATTTGAGATTTGGGGCTGTAGTTGAGATATTATTTGAGCTTTTGAAATGTTAATCAGCTGCTGGTTGTAGAAAACTGCCTTGTTGCCATGGTTACACATCATAACAAATGCCCCCCCCCCCCCCCCAAAAAAAAGGTTCAGTAAAAATCCTTCCTGCTGCACAGCATCCGATACCAGAGGAAACAATCATCCAAAAAATGTGATTTACATCCAGAAAACCAGGAATTACAGTTTCCAAAAGCAAAATCTCAGAATGAAATTAACAGAGCTGCTCCAACATGCAGCCACCTTGAGCGGTGCAAAAGCAGCTGAAAAAGACACCTCAAAAGCTCAAATACCTCAGCTACAGCCCCAAATCCCAAGTGAGTTGAAAAGGAGGCGCCGTGGATGAATTCCCGTCAATCTGGTGGAGGGAGATAAACCCCCACGTATTAAACTAAAAACACTACAGAAGACCAAAGATAAAGGAGGACTAGAGCTACCCAAGTTCTATTATTACTTTCTAGCCAACAGGCTAGAATACATCTCAAGATGGATAAAACGCACACCCCTTGATGAACCCTGGCTAGACGTAGAACAGACACTTTGCAATAATATAATGATCTCAGACCTTCCATTCATTAGCTCAAACATAAAACGACAGGAATGCTTTAAAAGCATCAATATCAGCTCCTCTCTGACAGCTTGGTGGGAGTTTCTTAAAATGACAGAGTCTTCACTAATCCCATGTAAACGTACACCCATCTGGAACAACCCTGACATCCTACAACAGAATAAGATGATAAACTTCCCAGGTTGGAGGTGTAAAGGAATCGAATATTTGGAACATATATATGAGGAAGTAGACTACATCCCATTTAACAGATCAATAACACAATATGGGATTGATAAGAATAAATTTTTAGAATATCAACAAATTAAATCTATAACAAAAAATAAATTTAACCTTAATAACACTAGAATTGAAATATCAACAAGTGTATTAGAATCCCTAAATCTTAACCCTCCCAAATTACTATCTAAGGTTTACTGGACACTCATTAAAATAGATGGATCAATATCCCTTCCCATTGTAAAATGGGAGACAGACTTGTCAGTCAACTTTGACCAAAACTTCTGGTCACAGATTTGTCTAAGTACTTTTAAGATGATTAAAAACCCCAATTTACGACTTCCGGGGCGGATCACCACCATGATGGCCGCATAGCGAGAGAGCTCCTGGACGAACCAGAATAATTAGAGAAATTTCCCCATATAAATTGAAGAAACTCCAGCAGTGTTAAAAACTGCTGGTAGTGTTAAAAAGGGGACAAGAGACAGACCACCACTCTGAACTACAAATGCCGACTGAGGTCAGATGGGTGAAAAAGATGGGATGCAGCAACAGCTAGCTGCTAACGGAACTAAGCTAACGAACAACGAGACGCAGCACCCGAAAATGACTGACTCTGAGCTGATTCTGGGAGAACTAAGAGGGTTCCGCCAAGAAAATAAAGAACAACTCGAGACAATAAAAGAAGAAATCATGAAGGTAAACACCAGAATGGACGAGGTGGAAGGACGTATTGAAAAGGCAGAAGAAAGGATCCAAAACACGAAGACATTATAACGGCTATGCTAAAACTACACATCAAGATGGAGGACAAATTGTTGGATCTGGAGAGTCGCTCCAGACGCAAAAACATAAAGATGTATGGGGTACCGGAAGGGTCCGAGAAAGAAACAACGATGATCACATTTGCGGAAAATTTACTCTGTGAAGGTCTGGAGTTAAATGACGACATGCCTGATCTACAAATTGAAAGAGCCCACCGATCAGTTGGGCCGCAGCCGCCAGTGAACGCACCACCACGCTCCATCATTAAGTTCTTAAGCTCCAGAACCAAAGAGACAATACTCCGCAAAGCATGGCAGGGGAAAGGTTTTAACTGGCAAGAAAACCACATAAATCTGGACCATGACTATCCACCTCTCATACTTAAAAAACGGAGTATACAGAAATCTGTAAAGTATTAAAGGAGAATAATATCCAATTCCAGACCATCTTCGCCGCAAGGCTGCGCGCCAGATATGAAAACAGAACCAAAACTTACGACACTGTGGAGGAGGCATCAGTGGACCTGCAGAGAAGAGGCTTCACCGTGACAACCATCAAACCTCCGGAGACGCTCATGGAGCAGGTACAGCGACTGTCCTGGACGAGGGTGGACAGACGAGCGACGAAGAGCACATTTAAAGCCGGTCGGGAGCCAAGCTACAAGGAGAAGCTCCGAGCTTTCAAGAGACCATCAGCGGATTCCTCGGGGTTCTAGAGAGGACTTAATCCACAATCTGAAGACGACGGAAATAAAGGTGAAATATTTTCATTATAATTAGTGGTGGAGATAAACTATTGAAGAAACTGGTTCGTTTGGGACCACTTTCCTTTTTCAATTATTACTCTTTCTTTCGTTATTAATATTTTTTCCTTTGCAGTAGGAATAATTTTTCTTTTTTAATTTCTATTATTATTTTTAACTCTTTTGTTATTTTTTCCTTTTCTACTTTTTCGACACGTGGCTGGAGCAGGCAAAGGCCTCTCCCTCTGGACCGAGGAGGGGGACTTTCTCCTTTGAGCACCTTTGGGTGACTCAACAGGGTCAACTTGTTAGACCCCTACATAGGAAGTCACATGGACAATTTGTTCTTAGTTTGATGTTTGTTATGTTAATTGTTAATTCCTTGCTGGTTAAAGCAGGGAGGGGGAAGTGCACCAGGTTTTTGAGAGAAATGGAGCGGGGAATCACATAGATGCAAAACAGATCTTTAAAAATAACATCTTTTAATATAAATGGAGTACTCAATCCAGTTAAAAGGGGGAAAATCTTAACAAAACTAAAGAAAGATAAAATCCAAGTCGCTTTTCTGCAAGAGACACACCTCAACGATTCAGAACATGCTAAATTAAATAAACAAGGGTTTAAACATGTTTACATTTCTTCCCATGGATCCGGGAAGCGAAGAGGAGTGGCGATCCTGATATCCAAGGCTGTAAATTACGAGCCATCCATCCATTTTCTTCCGCTTATCCGGGGTCGGGTCGCGGGGGTAGCAGCCTAAGTAGGGAGGCCCAGACTTCCCTCTCCCCAGCCACTTGGGCCAGCTCTTCCGGGGGAATCCCGAGGCGTTCCCAGGCCAGCCGAGAAACATAGTCCCTCCAGCATGTGCTGGGTCTTCCTCTGGGCCTCCTTCAGGTGGGACGTGTCCGGAACACCTCACCAGGGAGGCGTCCAGAAGGTGTAGTATGTCAGGACAGCTTTGCTGTGGACACACTACTAATTAATTATTCTTAAAGCTAGTTCAAGCACAAAGAATATTAATTGTTTAATTACAATGAATTCTTTTCTTTTTCGAGTTAAACTTCTGTTATGCGACCAAGATAACTTGAGAGTGGAGTGTTTAATCAGTGACATGAGACGCCATTTTATCTTTGACCCATCAGAATAAATGCGGTCATTTATTTAACAGAATCAAAATTTAACATCAAAACATGTACACATTGATTTGCTGATCTGTTTCTGATTAATA